TGTTATATATTTACATATTATATGTATATATTTATTATATATGTGTGTATTATATATGTTTGTATTTGCATTTTATAAATATATGTATTACATATATATACATTACACATGTATGTATGTGTGTATATATATGTACATATGTATGTATGTAAGTATATAGTGTACAAATTTATTAACTATACAAAATGTATATGAATATACAATATATGAATATAGAATCTATAATATGTAAATATATGGACTTACATAAAAATGCACAAATACATAAAATACATAAATCCAAATAACCATTATTATACATATTATGACTATTATAATAACTGTTAATATAATATAGAATATTTATATATTCAATATAAATGTATCTAATGTTACTATATTTAATAATATATTTAATAATATATTTGATATTAAGAAATAGATATTATATTTTTATATATTTAGCACTGTATATATGAAGATATGGTTCTCTAGCAGACCACAGAGAAGCTGCCAGGCCAGCAGGTAGAGGCACTGTGAGGGTGTAAGAAAGCAGCTGATGAACAGCACAAAGTGCCACAGTGGTTGGAAGTTTTTGGAAGTTTCTTGTTTTCTGTTAGAGGTGAGAGAGGAGAAGAGAAAGAGCAGCTAAAGGGAACAAAAATTAGGAAGCCAAAAGTGGAAGAGACAGAGTAGAGCCAGAAAATAAGGAGTTAGAGCCAAGGGGGCTCAGTAGGATACGGGAGCCCTAGGGAGGAGGAGGCTGGGGTTTGCTGACTCCCAGGGAAGGCTAATGTCCAACTGATTATCCCTCAGGTAAAAAAACCAAACAAACCCAAAAAACAGACAAGATTAAAGAGTTCACCGAAATGTGAGAATGGCCAATTCTTTAAGAGGTGAAGTGGTGAGACTGTACAAAAATGTAAGTGTCTTAAATGCCACTAGCACTTTCCTTAACCAGAAAATGAACCTCTTTCACTGCACGCTCAGTTTATTAAAAACACATTTTTTTTTTTCCTCCAAGCTGCTGTACCTTGGAAGGGAGTATCCCAAAGGAGCAGACTACTTTAGAAGCCGTTTGAAAGCAGCTTTCCTAAAACACAAGGATGAGAAAGACCCTGAGAAAATTAAGCAACTGATTGCACGGGGTGAATTTGTTATAAAGGAGCTGGAGGCTTTGTACTTCCTGAGGAAATACCGGGCCATGAAACAGCGCTACTACAGCGATGACAACCGGTGACTGTGCATGCAGCCAACACATCCACGAAAACTGACAATAAAGGAGATGTAACCTCAAAAGAAATGAAATGTAAATCCTTCCAACCCCTCTAAGGTACAAATTAGGACTTTGCTTCCCCTCCAGCAGCCGCTTGGGTTGGGTTTTCACTAAAACTTCAGGTGTGAAACGACTTTGCAGGAAGGAGTGGTTGCACAGCTCTGTTCTGTTTCACTTCAAAATATATCTTTAACAGAAGCTCTTCTTACCCCATAATTGTGTTTGAATGTCAATTCAAAGTGCTAATGCTTGTTACTTGGAAGCTTAACCTGAAAGTCCTCTGCATTAAATGATTGATTTCCACTCACCTTCTCCAAAGTAAAGTTCTCCACTCAGCCCTGGTGAGGCCACATTTGGAGAATTGTGTTCAGTTCTGTCTCCGTAGTTCAAGAAAGACAAGGAGCTACTGGAGAGGGTCCAGTGGAGGCCACAAAGATATTTAGAGGTCTGGAGTGTGTCTTATGAGGGGAAACTGCAGGAGCTGGAGAAGATGGAGGGGGATCTCAACAATGCATATAAAGATCTCTGATGTCAGAGGATAGAGCCAGATTCTTCTCAGTGGTGCCCAGTGACAGGATGAGGAGCAATGGCCACAAACTAAAACACAAGAAGTTCCACTTCAGCATGAGGAAGAACTTCTTTGCACTGAGGGTGCCAGAGCCCTGGAACAGCTGCCCAGGGAGGGTGTGGAGTCTCCCTCTCTGGAGACATCCCAAACCCACCTGGACATGTTCCTGTGTCCCCTGCTCCAGGTGACCCTGCCTTGGCAGGGAGGTTGGACTGGATGATCTCCAGAGGTTGTTTCCAACCCTGACAATTCTGTGATTCTCTGAAAGTCAATTCTTAAAGCTTTTAACCTCATCTGCTTCACTTGCAGAGGCACCACCTTCCTGTGTTAGGAGGATGACTTTGGGGTCAGGAAAGGGGTGAGTTTGAACAACAATGGTTTAAGCACTTGGGCCCTGAAGGCAATTTCTGCTACTGCTGATTTCTGATTGTGTAACTGCTGCAGCAGGAATGGATAACTTGATCTTTGCCCTGGGAAGAGAAGTTTGGCCATGGCTGTTTGCTCCAGGGTATCTCTGCAGGCCTTGGCTCGACTTGCACAGACTTGTGCCAGATCTGATACTCTGTACATTGTAGGGTTGGTTGGTGTTTCCACCAACTAAACAACACTGGAGATAGAAATAATCTTTGAAATATAGGTAAGGAATCACTGCAGCAGAGCTGTTGGCAGTAGCAAGTCTTCACACTGTCACAAGTAAGTATTTTAGGGTCACTGAAAGAACCACGGACACAGGTTTAATATAAAAGCATGACAAAGTCCACTGGCAAAATTCACTCTACTACTCACTAGGTGGTTAAAGCACAGAGAAAAAAAGGAAACTGAAGTCTAAAAGTAATCAATCTAAACCTAAAATCAACCAAAAATTATCTACGTGGAGGTTGAGGATGGGAAAGGGTAAGAATAAAAGGAATAAGGGAGATCCTCCTGTGGAGTCACAATGTTCAGACTGGACCTCCTTGCCAGAATTAGCCCTGCACTTGATCAGTGGTTTAGGCCTAAACTTAAACTTAACAGCACTTAATTGATAGCTTGATTTACACGGTTTAACAAAAGGCTCTTACAGAATTTACTGTAAGCACAACAGTAACTCATAGGCCTATTTTATTTACGAATCCGAAGTACTTAAGAATCTAGGAGAGCAACATTCACGGCACATTTGCTGTAGGATATCCACACTCACACAGACCTAAAGGAGTACATAGGAAGTATACACCTGTGAAAAATTCCCCTGGAATTCAGTGCTATTGCTCCTCCAAATTGGAGAGTTCACTGGCTCTGGGAGGCCCCACTCAGAGGGAGGTGCTGGTGTGTTCCAGGAGAGCTCCGAGGGTCTGCTGCTTACAGATCCACAGGAGAGCTGGATTTAGTCACAGTAATTTTCCATCCTGAGCACAATTCAGGTTGGTAACTTTCTTTGAAAGCTTGATAACAGAAATGTTGCTCCCCTTGGGATGTTTCCAAGGCTGGTTAAAAACCAGGAGCTCCCTAAGACAACTGGGAACAGTGTTCCTGGTAAGCTCAGGAGGAGCTCAGCCCAAGCACTCCTTAGCAAGGCCTAACGAGCATTGCTGAGACCACGCCTGAGGAGGCAGGGGGAGGGATTCACTACCACACAAAAGTCACTACACACACAAAATCCGGGAAGACAATTTAAAAAACGATGGCAGGGTACACTGCCTTGTGACAAAAGTGCAATTCAGTTCCTAGTGCCACACTGATGTGAAAAACAGCCCTTGCACATCAAATGAGCTCCTCAGAAATAAAGATGCAGTTACACCTTCCCTGGGAGAGGCAGGGAACACCCAGGGGCAGGGACAGCAGCTTTGGGACAGGTAGCACCTGAAGAAATGCAAGAAATAAAGGGAGAACAACTGCCAAACACACACAGTTCGTGGAATGCACCATTACCGAGATGAGGCACCGAAATTCTTGCAGAGAAAAAGGAAGCTGGGACAGAAACTCACAATAACTATTTTTTATTACATTACAATAAATAGGAGCAGTACAGTTTGACAAAAAAATGACAAATTCCAGATCACCTCACAGCACATACTCCTAAAAACATTAAAAATTTTAAAACAAACAGTGGTCTTTTTTTTTTTCCTTTTTTTTAACTTAATGTCTGGCATGACCAACATTCTGAGGTCACACAACCAAATTATGGAAAAACTGGATCACACTGCATATGTTCCACATCAAATAAAGCACAATGTACAAAATGTGCATGTTTCAGTTTACACTATACAAAAATAGTTAAAATACATTCCAGGTAAACATATTACATTAAGAAGTCATTCTAGTAAGAAGTTGGCACTCAAGAGGAAAAAGCAGAAGTATTTTCAACATGAAAACAACAAGACAGTGGAATAAAGAAATGTTAGGAAAGATTTACCATCTATGTAGCTTTATGTAAACTTGAGACAAAATGATTTGTTTTACAGTTTGATGGTCTTTGAAGGTAATAATTGTATTGCTTCATAGTATAGACAAGAGCAGAAGATTGTGTGTGTCAGTATTTACCCATTTCAGAGATCCTGTTACTGTGACCGTCCACACTTCTCAGTTAGCAAAAAAGTTTAGGGCAATGAAACTGGTCAGAATAATTGAGTTTGGAGCAAACCAATGATACAGGTGTTAAGCAGGGTTACATAAAGCTACGGTAAGAAGGTGTTACTCCCTGACAAATGGCAGTTCCACGTGCTAACGTGGTCAGTGACTCACAGGGTCATTCAGTAGTTGCTCTCAGGACAGACAAGCACCCAGGGATGTTTTGGGAAAGCATCTCAGGTAGGGCAAGACAATAAGGAAGAGATCAACTTGTGCAAGCTGCAGTCCAACATGCTTCACCAAATCGCAACAAATACTAAGACAAAACTGCACAACGGCAGCAAGGATGTGGTTTGGGGTTGGTTGTTGGTTTTTTTTTTAGTAAATAAGGGCTAATCTAAATGGATTTTGTAATAATTTAATCAGACTGGCAGCTACAGATCACATTTGCTGAACAAAACCCCAACACTAGCCTACATATAGCTTTATAGTAGAGCTATATAAATCCACATTTGATGAATAAGACATTTCAGCTACAATTTCCTAACAGTATTTAGTTGAACGTCAGAATTTTAGACCAGCCCTAATTTTACATGCAGTGTGACTCAGTTACCAAAATTAAAGCAACCTTAAGATTACTTCCATTTGCTCAAGGCATACTGTCAACTTTTGCTACGTTCTCCATGTATAGTCAAGAGTGTCTAAAATGTGCAAATAACTGTCTCCAACACATTTTAACCCTGGAAGCTCTGAAATACTTTGTGACATCAAGAATCTGTTCTTATTGGTCCTTACAAGATAACATTAGGTTCTCCTGTTGCTGTTTTTCAGAATATTTCATTATCGACGTTTCACATCAAAGCTGAAAGGAGGGAAGGGGGTTTTGGTGAAGGGTGGGGAATGGGGGGCACAGGCAGGGAAAGGCATGATTTCCCTCAGCCACATGGAAATTAAAGAACATACAGGATGTGTTCCCTGCCAGCTTTGCAGCTCTCCACCTCCAACAGTCACTCCGGGATTTTTTTTTGTAGAAGCAAAATAATACTTTTCTCAGGCAGCTGCACCTTTGGCATCACAGAAATGGTCCAAGTTACACAGTGCAATTTTTACATACCTGTGTAAAATTTCCATGGAATTGTTTAGGTGTACCTTAGGGCAATGCTGCTCTTCCCTGTTCCCAGCTTTCCAGTCCAGTGTCCTGAACTATCCTACTTCGATGTCTTGTGTCTTATTATTTGGGCACACCAGAGCCACATCTTCAAATGTTCCTCTGCAGCTGAGTTTGGCTACTATGAAGTGAACCTTCAGGGACCAAAGCTCTAATGGAACAAACTCCACATTTACAGTGAGACAACAGGAACTGGCAACACTGGGACTACTGGCTCGTGCTTCAGTGCAGAATAACTAGGCTACTGCAGTACCAAAAACTGAAAGCTCCTGCAAAAATCCTGCATTAATTCCAATCAGAAAACAAAACAAAACAAAAAAAAAGGAGGGGGAAGGGAAAACAAAATCACAAGAGAACTTAATCACAGAGAAAGACAACATTAAAATCTTGGCCTAGCTTCATGATAGACACTGGAATGCCACTCACCAACCATTAAATCTGTGCAACAAAACTAGTACTTCACGGACATCACACAAACAACACTGACGCTGGAAACCATGCTGACAGTTTGTGCAAATTCCACACCATTTCTATGGAATAGTGGATTCCAAAATTATTTGCATGAAGCAGCTAAATTCAACTCATTCATTCACTCATTTGATGTTACCAGAATTTAAGATTTCTCCCCTATTTTGCACAAAACTTGGGCATCTGGAAATATTTAATGCCACTCTTGGGCGGGGGGGGAAATAATGGTTTTACTCCACTATATAATTTAGGATTAATTCTGATTTAATTCTTAGGGTAAATTCTGGGTCCATGTATGAATTAACCTAAGAATTTGAATCAACTTATCTGTTAAGGCTTTTTAGTATTTCCTAGAGACACTAAGGGTGAAATCCTGCACCTACTGAACAAAGCTACTTAAAGGTTTGATGCTGGGGGGATTTCACCTTGATCTTCAGACACAAAAAGTCAGTGAAGGTCTTAAAG